CCCCTAAGCTTTGCCTTCAAGATTTCAACGTGATAGTGATATGTGTTCTCAGTGCGTCTATGTCTTCGTATTGGGTGACTGGCTTTAAGAACAAAAAAAAAAAAGCTACTGAGGTCATCATGACAATCCCATGATTTGACGCCCGATGGCAATGTATGCTTGTACAACGCATTGTTACGGCAGTATTTCAGGCTGTATTGTGAAGCATGTATACAAGACACGTGTGTTTTAAAGTAGCTAACGTGGTTGCTTGGGCGAGTTGGTACGACATGATTCACTTAAAAAAAAAAAAAACAGCGCCAATAACGAGGGACAAGAGAAAGAAGGAGACAGACAGTGGCACTGTGAATCGTGTGTTTTTTAAGTGAATCGTGTGTTTTAAAGCATGAAATTTGCTTAAATGCATTATATCTATAGTGCACATGAATATAGTGCATTTAATGCACTATATCCACAAGCAGAGGTGTGACTGCGTGGTAAAACATCCGCTTGCCACGCAAACGACCCTGTATCGATTCCCACTCGGACGTAGAAATAATTTTTTATTAATATCTTTTTTTGATTTTTTGGTCTCGCGAAGATGATGATTTTTCGCCCACAACCAACGACACCGACGCAGGTATTTCTGCGAAATGAGTTCTTTAACGCTATCGCGTGAAAGAATGCATCAGCGGGAACTTGGCGAACTGATTTGAATTAGTAAGACTAAAAAAGAAATAGGTTAATGTGGTGTAATGGAACCGCGGAACACTTGGTGATTTTCGTCTTGCAAAAAATTCGCTAGCAGACGCTGCCTGCGTCGGCGTTACGAAGCGAGAGGGCGAGCTTAGGAGAGGAGGGTGCGCATGCGCAATGGGGGTGTAAAAGCCGCGGGGAGGAAATGCCTATAGGAGAGAGAGGAGGAAGCTGCGTAGACTGGCAGACGCTGCCTGCGTCGGCATTGCGAGGTGAGAGAGGTAGAGAGAGGGGAAGGGGGGCGCATGCTCAGTAAGACGGAGGATCTAGGATCTAACTCGCATCTTAGAAATAAGGAAATGTTTAACAACCCATGCGGCACCCACGTTTCTTACGTAAAATGGTCTGTACGGTGATTGCAGAAAACTACAGTTATTGCGAGCGTTACGACTGACTCACGTCTACGTTTAGGCCCTGCATAACTCGGATTCCCGGTCACCTCGCTCTCCGTCACCATATATAGGTTATTGCTTCGCAGAACTGCCGTATTGCGAAACCCTATGCGACACGGTGCGTATGTAAAGCGAAGCCACGGTCCAACGTTGTGCACGCATTTAGTGCGGCCTAGCGTGCACAATCGGCGCGACGGCAGCGAAGAAGGAAGGTTGTCTGCGGGCGTGCGAACCGCGCCTCGAGCGCACGATGCCGGCCGCGCGGGGCTCCGTATCGGAAGGGGCGCGTTCCCCACAGTTCGGTGCAGCGAAGGGGAGAGCGCTCGCATACGGGCACGCCTGCAGTATGCCTCGCTCGCCGCGCCATTCTTCCTCGACGAGCGGAGCGCAGGGCGCGCGCGCGGAAAGGAGGTCACGCCGCGGCGGCTCTCACGTCAGAGGTCAGCGCTGACCCCTGACCCGTTTTGTTCGGAGCCCCCAGGATTAGAACAGGATCTGGGAGGGGAGGGCACGGAGGGGGCGAGATTTGATTAGGGCCGCCGCTCGCTCGCTCGCTCGCTCGCTTGCTGCAGCTTGCAACGCGGCTGGCTCTGATGGGCGCGCGTATGGGAGGCGCGCGCTTCTCGTGGCCCCCTTTGCTTCCTCGAAGCGCGCGCTGTAGGTGAGGGGGTTGGACCATTGTACTAGTGCCTCGAGGTCGCGAGTTCGACTCCTTGCTTATGCAACCCGCGTGTCCAAGGTTATATGAAATCGCCGGGTATGATTTAGCATACCACCCTGCAATGCCCGCAGTGTATATCGTGCAGTCCCAAGTTAAACTCAGTGGCCGAGAGGCTAAGTTAGTGCTGCTAAGCTCCACGACGTGGGGTCGATTCCTGGCCATGGACGGCGACCGCATTTCAATGGCGGCTAAAAACCGGCAGTCCTCGATTATCTACGGCGCGCCTCGCATTCATAGTCGTGATTTTGGCACGTAAAAGTCCGGATTTCGTTTTCTTACACCCTATACTGCATCTGTGCATGCCTTGCAATCCGTAAAACCGCCACAATTTCCGCAATTGAAGAACGTCAGAATGCGGGACGTATAATACATGTTACTTAATCCTTGGACTAATGTTGCCTTCTGCGCCCTGCGGAGCAGCTTTTCGACCTGCCTCTGCGTCGTTGCGTGTAAATGGGATACACTGTTCTTGGTATCGCGGTGCAGTTTGCTTATGCTGTACCTGTTATGTACCACCCCACTATTACGTATATGAGCGCTTTCATCCGGAATGCAGTGCAGCAGGCCGAAATGCACCGGGATCTGTAAAAGAGCCTCTATCTTATGTGTATACAGCAGAGGTGATACCAGACACGGTCGTATGTAGCAGGCGGCTTCATTTGTGTGGTCACGACAGACCCGATGCCGGACGCGACAAGTAACGCTATAAATGTTCCTTCTCCTCTTAAATCATACTCACCGATCAACAGCATGAACAACCTGTTTATGTATAGGTAGTATACTTCTCTCTCGAATTCATAACACGCCGCGGTGATCTATAGTGGCTGTACTGCTCGACTGCTGGCCCGAAGGTCGCAGGATCGAATCCCTTCCGCGTCGGCCGCATCGAGATGGAGGCGAAATACTACACACTCTTAAAAAAATGGAGTGACGTACTCTCCATTTAGGGAGGAACGGCGATGTCCCCAATGTTCGTCTTCAAATAGAGAAACGTTGCTCCCTCATCCACGGAGAAACACGTTCCTCCTTATGAAAATCAACATGGCTGCCCCTCAGCGAAGCGAGTAGGCTTAGCAAATGCGACGATTCTCGACTGGTAAGGAGTACACGGCACTGAAAGTTACAAAAAACGGTCCCGCCGAGCTCGATATTGAACGAAATGATTATAAAAACAAGCAGACGAACCTGTGGCGGTGAACACATCGCGAAAGAGAACGATGGAGCAAGTACGTTTCGTTCGGTCAGCGAAGCCACGTTCACTCCGAAAGACACGGTTTCTGCAGAGCCCTCACCTGAAGAGTGCATGCTAGGCTTGCTGTGTTTATTTCTCGCAGATTCACATAGTGTAGTGACGTTATCCATGCGCTTACGGGTCCGCAGGACACGAGATGTGCCTCCAAACCGTACACTCGATCGCAGCGAAACCATTCCGAATTCGTAGTGCAGCTTTGATAGATAGATGTTCAACGATATATAAATGGCTGAGGTGTGAGAGCAGGCTCGTGTAAGACGGTAAGTCGGGCCAGTTGGTTAGGATCCATCGTGAACTTTCTTACAGCGCAACACCAGAAAAAATACAGGACAGGGAAGGAGTAGAACAGAAAGAAAAAACGGCGCTACTCCTTCCCTGTCCTGTATTTTTTCTGGTGTTGCGCTGTAAGAAAGTTCACAGGCTCGTGTACTTTGCTTCAGGAACGCGCATTAAACAACACCAAATGGTCAATATTTCCGGAGCCCCCCGCGTCCCTCGTAACAATATCGCGGTGTGAGGACGTAAAGACCCGATAATTATAATGTTTTAGTAGATTTATATATGGCCACGGTATATTACTGCAAGAAAAAGGACCTCGCCGCACTGTGAAATTTTTCATCCAAGTGAAATGCGTGCAGCAGCTGCAAAACCTAGCCGCCGCTCCATGCATATTTAGCTCATTATAAACACTATACGTTGAATCATTCGTACATCAAAGCACTGCTTTGTGGATGTGTACCGATTGCAATATACGATCGCAGTGTGGAGTACACGTTTTTGTGAAGCAATTGTTTGCAGTACCACGTGAGCCTATGCTTGTACAGTAAACCGATATTATCAAATGCGGCAAGGAGATGTCGGCTATGGACTCCTAGGCTTTCATATGTGAAATATATGAAGAGGAGCACTCCAAAATGAACGAAAAAAATTGAGAGAAAGCGAAAATTTATTTCAGAAATTGGCATAAAAAAGCTTTTTTTTTTCCTTCGCCTAAATTCCATTATTGAAGCCCAGAAAGCAGTAGGCGATCGTTACTTTCTATGCTTGATTTATATCTTGCGCCGACTTTCTAGGTTTGGGGCTGCAGTATATTTTTTTTCTTTTTAGTGACGTAACGTTGAACGTACAGAAGTTATAATTAGAAAAATAGAACCGCTGCACTGTTAAATAATTTTGAATACGTATGCATGCTTATGCAAGGCCTACTGCGTTTATACTCGCGTAATACCAGCTCAGGCAATGTTCACTATGTGCGTTGTTATAGCAATGTAATAAGAATAATGCACTACATTGCTAACCATTATGCATAGTGCATCAATCCATTCGCACACTGTACGGTGGTCTCGCCTTAAAATTTAAGGACACGATAAAGAGAAAAGCGATTTTCCTCGTGTCAGTAAATTACTCGACACCCAAAGCGCCGCCGTTGTTGCGAGGAAACGCGCGTGGTAAGCTGGAAAAGAAAAAAAAAACAAATCACCGCCTAAGAACTCTGTACAGATGGTTAACCAGCGAAAGCTGTAACGTGCGGCGCCGGTGTGGGTTCAACTCGACGTGGCACGCCGCGAAGTCACAGATTTCGGCGGCGTTTACTGCGCCGATGGGTATATAGTTAATTCCTAATCGGTCGAAATGAAGTCTTCCACGGAAGCCGGCGACTTAACGCAGCCAGTTTCAGAATGTTTCTTTTAAGCAATGTGTCCAAATTACGTCGGAAAGAATGTCGAAGTCGGTGACGTCGCTATAGCGTATTGTGGCGGGAAATTTAAAGAGAAAATTTTCGAAATTGATTTTCTCCTCTGTTATAATGAACGTGACGGTGAAATGACGACACCGGCGTTTTTCGAGTATCGTCTCTCTCGGCTGGTCCATCATGCGCGTAATTCCTTTTTTCGCGCAGACGTGGCGGCACTGGCGCTATTCACCTCGGCGGCAATGGCGGCCCGGTTGGAGGCCCCCGGTGACCTGCCGCGGACATCACCTACGTTGGCCGGTGAGTGGTGTATGCGGTGGCCTCCAAGCCACGACCCCTCCGCTCTGCAGTGTTAGTGAACTCGGGCTGTAGGTCCCGATCAGGTGGTGTGGTCATACGTGTGAATCAAAATTAGTTTGAATATTACGGGCACAGCTAGTGTCGGGTATCCAGGCGTTCACGGATGGCCGCGCCCTAATCACGCAGACAAAAAATTAAATAATAATAATAATAATAATAATAATAATAATAATAATAATAATAATAATAATAATAATAATAATAATAATTTAGTGTGGTGGTAAATAAATGTTCGAAAATTTTTAATAACGAATCTAATAGAGCTGTATTCGATTCGGCACTCGCATTTCCGATGGAGGCGGAAATGTTGTAGGCCCGTGTGCTCAGATTTGGGTGCACGTTGAACAACCCCAGGTGGTCTAAATTTCCGGAGCCCTCCAATACGGCATCTCTCATAATCATAAGGTGTTTTGGGACGTTAAACCCCACATGTCAATCAATCGATTCGGCACTTTTAATGGAATAACGAGTATTCGAATTTCCGAACGCTTCTCGAATATACAAAACCAATAGCAAACCCCCAAAGGAACGGTATACGTCGGAATAGCGGAGAATTATTTTTTTTCCTTTTTAATTAGTCTATTGGCCATCGTGTATCAAGTGGATCATCGAACCTTAACTCATCACCAGATGAAGGAATTTCCGCTTTGAGCTCCACTGTCGCCGAAGAGAACGTGTCCTCAATGCGCCATTGTTATCGGTGAGATTCGCGATGTTCTTTCGTGACGCATTATTTACCTTTCCGGGTTTTAACATTATTAAAATCTAGTGACGTTCGAAGTATACCGCCTCGAAAACTGCAGTGACTGATGTACTCATCCAACTTGAACTATATACCTCGATTGCGCTAGTCGATACTGTATACGAACTTGCCTCAGTTTTGTATAATTAATGTATCTTTTGTCGGTTAAATGCAACCGTAATTTATTTTGTTGACAGCTTGTGAATATTTGTTTGACATTTTGTTTAACGTAGAATTTTAGGCCTGTCTTCAAGAACGTTGCCTTGCTTTCTGAAAACTATTCAAATAATATTCGATTCTTATTTTAGTTTGATTCGGTATGATCATTATTCAATCCGTGTTCAATTCGGTTCTAAATTTCATTTTGTGCACGTCCCTTTAATTTAGCGTATTATTCGTTTTTTTGGTTTCTCTACACGGTGTACACGCGTAACCGTCGAACGAAGATTCCTGTCCCGTCGGCCGGCCCTCACGAAATTTCATGTTTCTTTCTTTCCTTTCGTAAGCTTGGTTAACACATTCAAATGCGAAATCGCGTGCCTTACAAGAACGCTAGCGTAGCGTTTAAGTATCTTTTGTCGTCGCGCCTAAGGATATAGCGCGCAACAGCCGTCAAGTTCACGGTATACAGACATTATTCGCGAACACTGATGACCGTTCCGTGAACTCGAGTTACTTTGCTCAAGCTGCGTGTCAGGTACTGTCGTGATGGCGCCGAGCTAAAATGTTTCGCAGGACACATCTAGGCTTCCCCGCACTTTTGTTTGCCAGCACAGAAGCAACACCTTGCGACGGAGAAGATAATCTCCGTATTGCTGCAGCTTTCGGAATCACTCATGTCATTCGTTGTAGTAGTGGTTTGCGCTAGCTGCGCTGTGAGAGCTGTATAGTTCACTCGCAACATCCGTGTGTGCAGCTGTTCACGCATAGGAGCGCTGTGTGTCTAACAGGTTCTGCCGCGGTGGCTCCGTCATCATCAGCATCCATCACATCTCCTTGTAGCTCCCACAATTAATTCGCTGGGAACGCCTGGCGAGTCGGAGGCACAATTTTCTCGGGGCAAGACCTCTCTCTTTGTATTATACCCTTCCGTGTTTCGACCCTCCCGCTCTATACTCCGAGCCACTGCGACGCGATACAAAGTGAGGTCGCTCAGTTGAAGCTTTTATAATGGCGGTGCGCATTCGTTGCGCCATGACAAGCGCAACGTACACACTATAGTAGTGTCATTACTCAGTCACTAAATGTACCGAGCACATGTTACGCATCGACAAAGCCCGCATGAAACGGACAGTTCGCTTTACGCGCATCAGCTTTTTTTTTTTCTTTTTCCCCGCTTACCTGTGTGTTCAGCCTATGACCATAAAGGCAGTCCATTGAAAAAATCTGTGAGAGAGCACTTCTGCGCTTTGAGAAAGCTATAGGCGTAAGTGAATATTTGATATGTTTAGATTAGTGCCCAAAGTGGCTTCAACTTTGAACGTACCCATCCAACCATTACTACATCGACATAGCTATTCCCACGAGTCAAGATACGCCTATTGGTGTCCAGATTGGGCCGTCTCGTTTATCAACTTGGGGTCGGAACTGACCTAGCAAGATGTCGAGATATCTTAACTGAGCTAGGTCCAGCTCTCCCACGTTCTGTAAGTTTGGCATCCGTGCGCTGTGTCACTTTTACTATCTTCTATCTCGCTCTGTGCGTTTATCTATATTGGTTTCTATTACAGTGCTTTCGTTTTCACCCTATGTCTGCGTCAAGACATAGTACGTTGTGCTGATTATCTAAAATCACATGAATGGAGTTTTGACCTTTGCAAACAAATGATGTCGACATTACAAGCCGTACATCTGCGGCATCCCTCGTAGGCTCAGGCTGCGTCGCGACGGTCTGAAACCTCATAAATTTTGATTAAGAGCTCGGCAACGCCTAGCCCCCTCTTGGCCTACGTTCAAACGTTATCGCACACATCTATCTGCCCACCCATCACGCGGCCAGTCTGCGAGCGGTGGATAATGATTCCCGCAGACGTACTTCGCACGTATACGTGTTTGGGCACGGCAGGACCCGTTTGCGGCTGCACCGCTTTCGGCGACGAGAAACGCGTTCATATAAACGGCTCAACGTTTTCGACACGGCGGCGAAACTAAAGTGGTCTCTTCTCCCGCGACGTGCCGTAATAGGCGTGTGGGTCTCTTTCTCGCGCATCGCCGTGGTGCCGTTGCTTTGGGTCTCTTTTGCGCGCGGAAACTGTCGGGGCGCGTAATGAGAGCTGGCTGTGAAGTGGGTCGGTGAGCCGGCGTGCGCGCGCCAACTGCGGGCCGCTGTCGCCTTCTTCCGCGGAGAAGGAAGCAACACGCTTGCGCGTTGTAATGCCGGCAGTGAGCGATGCGCCTCGTTCTCCTTGGCCGCCGATGTTGCCCGCGCGGGTCCTGCCGGCCTTGCACTACCGCGCGGAAGGACAGCGCCGCTTCGCCATCCATCCTTCGACGCGCCAGAGCGGTCTCGAGCCTCTTCCCAAAGGGAAGAGACGCGCATGCTGCTCCCTATAGCGCGGTGCGGCGGAGTACGGCTCTAGGACGCATCCATTCCATTAGGCACTGCGCCGTGCTCCCGACCGGGTTGCAGAAATTGGGTGCTTTTTCTTATCTTCTAACCACTACCACTACCATACCGGTTGTGGTGGGACTGGTGCTCAATCCGGAGGTTCGATCACTGCCAGTGGCGAGTTGTCTTTTTGTCCGCTGTACTTTCTGCACATCATTATGAAATTTATTTATTGGGTTTGTATGCACAGAAAACACGAATGCACTGAGGAAATAGGGAGGCAACAGCTTACAACTGCAGCCGTCTAGAGGGTCACAACGCCTGTCTGCATGCTTCTTCGGGAAGGGGAAACATATGCATACAGATATGGCTCGACTTGTGCGGTAGCTGAGTGTGACGAACAAGTCACACTACCCTAGAGGGCGTGAGGTTCTGAGCTGTGGATTCCATGCGTTGTTTTTTTTCCCCCTTCAGAACGGTACTTGATGCATGTGACAAAGCCGGATTGAAGATTGCGCTTGGTGGCTCACCGGCTGCCGCCCTGTTACAAGAGTAACCAAGGGGTGACCATAGCATCCATCCACCCACGGGGCCACGAAATTCGGAAAGCCTTAGAACAGGGCCACCGCGGCTGACAGGGTACACATGTAATTAACCTTATATAGAGCGGTGGGAGAGACGTTCGTCGACCCTTGCCGTGGCCCGACCATTATGATATGCATACGTTTAATGGCGCACTCATCGCGCTGCGCTTTTCACTCACTGCTACGATATGCCTCTTCTCCTGCACTGCATAGAGAGCGCATTGAAGAAAACAGAAAGCAAGTCGAAAGAAGCCAAAGTACAGGGAAACAGAAAAATTGAAGGAAAGCGCCTGCGCCGCCCCGCCTGCGGACACTGCTCTGCGGCATCCTGTCGAACTCACGAGTGTGTGGTGCAAGGGGGCTGCGACCTCGCTCTTTCAGCGCTGGCCACGAGGATTGCGGGCAGGGTTTCGGGGCGATCCACTGCGCACTTCGAGAGAGGCGGAGCGCCCGCCAGGCAGGCAGGTGTTCGTGCGTGAGTGGTTGTGCGGTGCGCGCTCGTGTACTGTTGTGCCCGGCGGGGCCACCCAGTCCTCCCAGTCACGCGGCAAGGGTCGTGACTGTGCGATATGGGCCGCGGCAAATTGGCGCGCTCTGTGCTCTCCTCGTCCTTTCCTCGGTGCGGCCGCCCGGGTTGGGAGCATGGGGGTGTGGAGGGAGAAGGTTGCGTGGGCGGCGGGGAGGGGGCAACGGCCTGCGGACGGTAAAAGGGACCCAGTTCTTTGGCGGGCGCTACCGATCCTCCTCCTCCACCTTTCCCCCGGGTCGTGAAGCTCGCATCTTCTTCTTTCACCGAGAACCGCCACAACTGCAGGAATTTCGATGAACGAAATGTGAGAGATCGTCCGCGAAGCTGTACCCTTTTATTCTCACTCCCCCCTTCCATTTATTTATTTTTTTTTTTTTGCCTTGCACATCTACAGTGAAGCGCCGCCTCGAACGTTAGCCAACTGCCGCTGTTGTTCAGAGTTATGCCAGAGCCACGGTGGCTCTAGTTATGCGGAGCACCGGAAGGAGGTCAGTCGCGGGTAACATTTTAATTTCCGATATTCAGTACACGCGAGCC